AACCTATTTGGTTACTTGTAACTGTATACAATGAACATGATAGTGTAGCCGTATAAGCAACACAAATACAATATTTATTAAAATCATGAGTTAATTGAAACTAGACCACCATAGAAAACATGTAAGCACTGGACGGACATTTCTTCCTACTGTGGGACTCCTCAGCAATGCGCATCCACGATCCCGCTTCGTAAGGTTCGAACCCAGGACCTATAGTTTTTGCGCACGAGCGCTTAACCTACAGACCGCTGAGTCGGCATCCAGCAGTGTTAATGTCTAACTTTAAATAATTCACGAAGTTTCGCCACCATTGTCTTCAGTGCGTTGCTATCTCACAACAGACTCGGTTGGACTTCACTCGTCCTTGCTGAGGAGTCCCACAATAGGTTTTCCATGATGTTCTAGCTTCAGTCGATTCATGATCTCAACTATTAAAATTACTGTAATATCCACAAAAGCTCATCCCGATAACAATAATAGTTTTTGGAATGAAATCTTAAATGGAAATTATACTTTAATATCGAGCATTTTTCCACTGAATTAATGGAAAAAAGATCCAGAAGTGCTGGATACAACTCACTTATTGAAGATGTTGAAGATAATCATGACCTTAAAACTATTCATAAATGAAAGCTTAAATTTCCCACACTATCATAATGGGTCGGTTCAAACAAAATATTGTATCTGTATGGTTGTGTGTCGTACCACTGAGATTGAATATCGAGCACATATGTATATATGTCATAATAAAATGTAATTGATTTCAATTGATAAGTGGTATCGATAATAAAGGTTTTTCATGTTTGAATATAGATATATGTACATATAAAAATTTACAAAGTGAGTCGTCATGTAATAATTGCAAGGCAAACTAAAAGGATCGTTAACATAGACCTAAAAAAAAGTATCTAACTGAGGGGAGAGGGCTATGAAGATTGTTGGTTTTTTCTTAGTTTACATCATAAACTGATGTTGGTTAAATACTTTTTGTAAATCAGGAAGCACTATAAAATTTTTTCATCATTTCATGAGGCTTCTCAGCGGTATTGTTCAGTGATTCCAGGTTTTCACTGTTTTAATGTTCACTCTAAAAAGTTTTGCTAAGATCAATCTATTTATTCATTTAATAAAAGCAAAATCTGAATGGAATAATATATATAGAGAGAGAAAGGGTGTACCATAAAATTACTTGTATACTCCATTTCTATCACGTTATTTTTAAGTTACATTTCTAAACACTTTTTATTTGTAACAACATAAGTGATGTACATAATGGAAATATCTTCATACTTTACTAGAGGTTTGTATGTATAAATTGATTTATCAAGGGAAGTAAAATTGTTTCTCTCTCCTCCATAGTTTGTCAACATTCCTAACATAAAGCTGAAGACCTGAACTTACTCTCAAAATTGATCACACTAAAACTTAGATGATAAAATTCAACTCTGTAATTGATTACTGATAGACAATCAGTTATTCTTACAAGATTTTTATAATGATTTATTTAATTTCTTCATAGTATCATTTCAATTGATGTCAATTAATGAAGGTGTCTCATATCATGATGAAGTAACTATTTAATACTCTGTAATCTCCTATAATACTCCAACTAATATCAATATCATAGTGAATATTAACTATAAATGAATTATATTCATTCAATCATAGATTTTGTAAACATTTAATTGATTGAACACTTTCCATCTTAAATGTTTCTGATAGAGATCATAAACCGATTGATGTTAGACCACCTTTGGAAACCTGGAAGCACTGGATGGCCATTTCTTGCTATTGTGGGACTCCTCAGCAGTGCGCATCCACGACTCCGCTCGCGGGATTCGAACCCACAGCCTTCGGTCTCACACGCGAACGCTTAACCTACTGGACGACTGAGCCGGCATCCAATGGTGATAGTGTTTAACATCAACCAATCCACGAAATTGCGCGACTGTTTTCCATTGTACTGAGGTAGATACCTGTCTCTACTCGACATGGATTAGTTCTATATATATATATATACGGTTGTGTGTGTATGTGTGCATGTGAATATGTATGTATGGATATAGTAGTAAAAAATGAACAATTCTATTCAGAATTTATGTTGATTGAAGCATAAATGATAAAGTTTTTTTTACACAATGATACAAATAATCATGTATATTACCAATCATTATTATCATTTCCTAATGAGTAAAAATTATTTTTTGCCCATATTATTTTTTTTATTAAAAGAAATACATATATATAGAAACGGAAATTGACATTTAAATGAACAAATGTTAAAAATAGAACACAAATTTCCTTGTGTCTATGGCTATCTTACTCGCCTCCCCCCTATCTCACTCCCTTTCTGTTTGTCTCTTTGTTTTCCCTAATTTTATTCACGGTCGAAACACATGTCATATATTATTATTATTATTATTACTAATGGTGAATACTATAAAAAGATGAAATTATTGAATGTCATTAAAAATCAAAATCTTGTTTGTTTCAATATTTCAATATTTCTTCAGTAAGAATATTGAACATTGAACGGAAATATGGATGAATTATTATTGTCAAATGAATTGTTTATTAAAACAAGAACAAAAAATTAGAGATAAGATAAATATGTAGGGCTTTTATATTGTTGTTGTTGTTGAGAGAAAAAAAGTGTCTAATATTATACATTTACACTTGAGATGATTATTTTCAAATGATAAATAAATGAGTATTCATGTGTATAAATAGGAAATGTATCATTTATGAAATCTTGATCATAAATATGAAAGCAATGAATGGTTGTTTCATTCTGATATGAGACTTCTAAGCAGTGTATATTCATGAACCTGTTCTCAGGAATCAAATCTAGAACCTTAGGTCTTGCAAGCAAACGGTTAATTAATAAATCACTGAGTTGGGTTGCTTTTAATGATGACTTAACTTAGATCAGTTTATGACTTTAATGAAATTTCTGTAATTGTTTTAAATAATTCATAATGAAAAGAATAAATGAAGCGTTGTTGTTTTGTTTTTATTACAGCTGAAAAGTTGAATTTGTAACAAATAATTTTATTGATACAATAAGATTTGTTTACCAATTGGTTACATGCTTTACAATGTTGCATTTAGTCGAGAATTAATTATATTACTTATATCATTTTTGTTCAAGCTAGGTCGTGAAAAGATTGACTTTTTCTCAACCGTGGTATATTCCATTCCCTTTGCTTTAGTTATTCTATACTTTCGTAGTAAACTATTGGTAGTTATGAGATAGTTGAATTCATGAGTTGGTCTAAGCTAGGCCACCACTGAATACCTGGAAGCACTAGACGGCCGTTTCGTCTCAACACCGAACACCTCAGAAATGCGCATCCACGATCTCGCATGCGAACGCTTAATCTTTAGACTACTTAACCGTTATCCAGCGGTATTAATGTCTATAACTTCAATCAACTAATGATCTTGAGCAATCATTCATCCATTATCTGAGGTAGATACCTGTCTCACAACCGACACGAGTTGGACTCCATTAGTTACGGCGGAGTGCCGTACTAGGATGAAACAGCCGTCCAGCGCCTCCAGGTTTTAAATGGTGGTCTAGCTTAAATCGACTAATGAATTCAACTTTTAAGATCATTACAATCTTCACAAAACCCCAATCTAATAATAATTATGAGATAAACAACAGTGTACAAATGCCCACTTCATATTACCTTTTTTGTATTCAGTAGTTTAGGTGTATGTACCAAAGAATTTACATTAGAAGAATAGAAGTACATACCACAATGATTAAGAATAAAACAGTCAACACGGCTTTTAATAATTAAATTGACTGTCATCTGTTGGATAGTGGATAATATGTTGATATTTTAAAATCATTCAAAATAATTAACATTTAAACAATTTTGAATTTATTACATTTCACAAAGGCCACTAATGAAAAACAAAATTAGAATTGAACATACACATTGAAAGGGATACAATTGTCAATCATCTACTTATCTGGTGACTTTAATTTCCATTATCAAATAACGTAATATATATATTCCCTTTTTATAAAACTTTATTGCCATGTAATTCAGAAATTTCACGTATAGAATTGTTACATAACTACAATTCGCTTTTTCATATTCATCTCAGTCATTCTTTTCATGTTCATTAATGTGTTAAGACTGATTTTTAAGTGCTGTTTCTAGGCTGAAAATCAGCTGATGAGAAATCATGAGATTAAAAATTAATTCATGTATAATTCTGATACATTTGTTATTCTTGGTTTGTATTAAATTTCTCAGTGGAAACAATCGTATTAAACCTGAATATGTAGAAGGTATGTAGTACTCAATGTTACGCCACTAAATGTTCTGGTACGGCTAAGGGTGGGTAGAGTTCGCTCTTCTTCTTGAAATGATTCCACATAACCACGCCTATACAGACACTGTCAAAAAGGTCCACCTTACTGCCTTCTCGAGGCGGGGGTGTTGTTTACTAAGTTGAGAGGACGAAAAGCAAACGCCCGATGCGTTAACCGGGTAGGTGGATATGGGGGATCTAACTGGGAGAGTTGGAATACCCTGATTCCAAACCTCTGGTGCACATGGGCTCTAGAATCCTGAAGAAGCAAAGAGAGTATGAGCCTATTGTTAGCTACCGGCCACCATGAGACTGTATCTTCTACAGTTGCTCCACTGTCTTGCCGAATAAACCTCTAGGTCGAAGGCTCGGGGAGTGGCCGCCTAAGAAAACCTCCTGCTTCGGTTTGGGCCCTTACACAAATCGAATGACGAAATGTGACACATGCATATTTGGCGCCTCCTTGTAACAATGTTTAAGTGTCTAAATAAATAGAAAACACAGTGTAATATCATACTAGATTCTTAACGTCATTACAAATAATGCTAACTAGTAATATGGAAATACTTTTTTTAAACTTCACTCATTGTTCTATGACTTTAAATTTGATCCAATATATTGATAAAGTATAAGTACCTGACTTTCACCTCTTCTATCTTTTATTACAGGTTGATGCAGATGAATTAATTCCAGTTTGTGGTGTAGGTCGTCAAAATACCAATGTTCTTGGTGCATTTATTCTTGGACCTCAAACCGTTCTAATCACTTTAGGAGGTGTTGCGTTTACAATTGGTTTCCTGTGTTTGTTACCATGTTTTCGTAAATGTAAATGTTTTTATTGGTCACAGTATAATACTAATGGGAATCAATCAAGTCGACATCATTCTGTTCAATATAAAAAACAAAATTATAATCATGGGATAGATGGTCAATCTATTGACGGTAATCCCACATTGACAAGATCTATGGTCAACAGATCTCATCATCACTATCATCGTCATCATCATCATTATCAACCTACATCTCATAATACCCATCAACCTCATCATCATGCATACGATCATCAGTCTCATCCACAATTCCATAATCATTCTTCTCGACGTTTTCACCAAAATTATCCTCAACATTTATGTTATACAACCTCAGTGTCATCATCTTCATCATGTGATCCAATGGAATTTCGTATTGGGTTATTCTGTTTTCTATATTTAATCCCATTAATTTGCATGAATGCCTGTGATTTATACGAATATTTATATCGTGATAAATGGTTAACTATTCCCGATTATAAACATCTGAACGATCATAATACTAATACGAATACCAATAATTATGGTAATAATAATAATAATAATCGTAAATTAATGAATAATCGATATCATAACATTTATGGGACAAGAAATCATCCAGAGATAATGAATTTTGCATCATATTTATGGAATATTAATGAAGTATATGGTCCAAATCCAGAATTATTTATGTTACGTATATTTATGTCACTTGTCACTGGATTCACATGTAGTTTATGGATGTGGACTGTGAAAGGTTGTTGTTGTTCTTATTTAAATTATGATTGTTGTTTATGTGTAACAAATAATATTGGAACATTGAAACAAAAACGGTGGGAAAATCAAAACTTACTGCAAAATTCAAAAATATTCGAATTGACTAAACAGAACTATTTATGTTCAAATGAATTGATTAAAAATAATGATAATAATGGTAATAAGCATATTTTAAAATCCAATTTTACACGTACACCTGATGGTACCACTTATACACTACATCCATATGCAATTTATCAACATACAAAAACACCAGACAGTTATCATTCACAACAATTAGGGATAAATGGACAATCTGATCATCGATTTCCAATAATTGGTTGTTGTAGTAGTACTAGTCATACTAATACTACTACTAATCCTGATAAAAATTCTACTAATATACCATCTGTATTAACTAAAGGTCATTTAAGCCAATTAGATACAAGTTTTGTTGTACGTGATTTTGAGCATTCAAATTCTACTACACCGGGTTATTACAGCCATGCAAAAATTAGTCCAAATATGATTATTGACTCAATGAGTGAAGACGCATCGGCTTCGTCAATTCCACCACCTTTACCACCATCTAATAGTCGACCTCCACGTTTACCTGCACGTGGTGATCCATGTGTTGGAGCATCATCGAGTCAAGTATTTGGATTAAATAACAAAATGAATACAGATAACTTGGATAATCACATAACTAATGCCACCATGAATAATAATATTATTAATTGCAATAATAATAATAATAATGACAATAGTGAAACTGAAAATTATAGTTTAATTCAATTTCAAATCACAAGTTAATATGAGTAGTATATAATTGATTCTCTAAAATATCATGAAAATGTTTTTAAATCACAATCACACTTTGTTTATGTAATATACTTACTTACGCAAGTGAACAATATGATCTTTCAAATCTGTTTCTTAAGGAAATCTTATTTCCTTTCCTTTATAATTTCGTTATTATAGTTGTTATTGTCAACACCGTCGTCTTCACTATATATAAATAGACAGATATATGTTTCATTGTTACTAGTGTTCTACCAATAGATGAGGTCTATGTAATTTTTGTCAACTTCCACCTCGGTCCCCTCTCCGACCCACGCCCCTCAATCATTGTGATCATTCAAATTGTTATTATTTTATCTTTTGAATTACATTGTTTTATTTTTTTTATCATTCATTTCTCAAATGGTAGACATGCATTTACTTGATTGTGTATTTAATACAATATTCTCTCTTCTCTTCCCAAGTGTATATTCATAACAAGACTTCAAGTATATATATATATATATATATATATATATATATATATATATATATATGTATTCGGTCTTACAGGGTACATTTACAGTTATCAAATGGTAGTCATTATGTAATTGGCAATTAATATGTCAGCAGTCTATAAATCTAAACTTGCACAAATATTTTACACAAAACATCTTATAAACAAACGAGCTATTATGAGTGGTGGTAATGTATGTATGTATAAGAGCATGCTCATGACAATCATTCTGTCCCATTCTGTTCATTCTTTTCTTGTACAATGTTCTATGATCAATAATGGTCATTTGGACCTCTCTAAGTGTATTATTTATCTTACTTTATTTATCGTTCAATTATATTCGTTTGTTTATTAATGATCATTTGTAAACAATAAGAATGTTAGAAAGAAAATAATAACATGATGATGATCATGATTGAACAAGGAATGTTTCATATGTACAATATCTACATAGATCTATTGGATAGTGTGTTTGAGTATTTTGGTGAAGTGTATACATTATACATATATATATTCTTCACTTTACCAATAAAGTAGGATTCATGGAAAAAATAAAAACAAACCACTGATAGACAGACAGACAATATCGTCATTTACCCCAAACTCACTAATAATAATAATTATTATTATTATGTTTTTGTTCCCTTTTCTTTATGGTGAATAAATAAAATAGATCAACAAATATGAGTATTCATTGACAAAAAAATGTTTTGATCTATTCTTTGTCATTCTTTTCTGTAGTGTACGACTAGATGTTCGTCTGGTAATCAAAATGAACGAATATATTGGATTGCATTATAAGCAATGGAACCAAGGATACGCGTTTCGTCCTATTTGGGACTCGTCAGTTGGATGTACCTAAATCTCAGATTTGATGTTCACTATGGGACTCGAACCCAATACCATTCACTTAAAACGTCATCGTGCTATCTACTTAGCTACCGAGTGCTGATAGCCACTTGCTTGTGAAATGGGGTGGAGTTTAAATTCGCAATACTAAGTGAATTTATAATGGATAGCAGTTTGTTCTGTTCTGTTTCGTATCTGAAAAATATGTTCTGTAAAAAAAGACGTTTGTAGATTTTTTGTAGTAAATCATGGGTATCTTTGAAATATTTCTGGGGTACATTAGGAATACTGAGTGAATAACTTTGATGTTAGAATCATAGTAATAAGAATGGTTAATTTACTGATACAGTAGTGAATCTCAGTTGGGACTATTATTCACTCTTAATCCAGGATATTGGATCGACTGACTGAACATTTTAGGAGATAGTCCAACTCCTCACCTCATTTTCTCACAATCTTCAAGCAATCTGAATGGAGAATTGATATAAATCCTCCAACTCTTGGCGGGGTTGAAGTGACTATAGGCATTCTAAAGTGAGGGAGAGCATACGGGCCCGATGGACTAACCCTTGAGATTCTAAGGATGATGGCCCAGTTTTAGAAGTTAAGTTGACTGAGATCTTGGCTAGAATCTGGGAACTGGACCCAATCCCATCTGACTGGTCTCGATTGCTGGTCATCCTAGTTAATAAGAAAGGATAAAAGTTCTCTTGTGACAGTCACAAACGAATCCATCTAACCAATATATTGTCTCAAGTATTAACTTCAGTAATACTTCGACGTGAAGAGTAAACCTGAGGAAGTCAGGTTGGTTTCAGAGCTGCAATTGGATGTATAGACCAAATATTCACCCTCTGGCAACTTCTGGAACAGAGACGCACTTTTTAACGTCCGACTACAGTTGTATTCCTTGACATTAAGATGGCGTTTGACTCTGTTGATCGTGGATTTCTGTGGCAGTGTCTGTCGTTCAAAGGCATTTCAAACAAATACATCAACATCTACCCGAATACCAATGGTTGACTCAAAACTTATGGAGAACTGTCATCGGAATTGGTTACTTCAGATGGTGTTCGTCAGGGTTTTCCACTTTCCCCTCTTTTACCTAACTTTGTCATAGACGTGCTTTTAAAGATAAAACCTTCGTCGTCTGTCTTTTTATGGCTTGACATTCCCGGAGATTCACTTGTCGACTTAGAGTACAGATATGATGTAGTTCTGTTCGTTGAAGACTCTGAAAAAATGCAGGGTCTTTTGACCACCTTAGGCAACAATGCAAGCATATTCGGGACGCAGTTCTCTCCCTCCAAATGCAAAATGTTACTTCTGTATTGGATTGCGTCGTCGGCCGATTTAGTGATAGTAAAGTAGTTGAGCGCATCGACCGCTTCACTTTTCTTGGGAGCGCCATCACTATTGATGGTCTGGTGTCTGACAAAATCTCGTCATGGATTCAGAAGACTCAGTTGGCTTTTGAAAACTTGCATCATTTGTGGCTTAGGCGAGATATCCGTCTGCCAACCAAATGACGGGTTTACTGCACAGGAGTTCTCTTCGTTCTACTTTATGGATATGAATCATGATCATTAATAATAGGAGATATTTATAGGCTACTACTATTCGACCATAGGTGTCTTCGAACACATTGCTCGTGTATTTCGGAACCACTGAGTAAGCAATTTTAGGGAAGGTCGCTGGATAAGGATTCTAAATTAATTGAAAAGGTAGTAAATCTTCATCGACTTAGGTGTTTGGGACACGTGTTACGTATGCCTAACCATCGCCTACATAGATGGGCGATGTTGGCTGGTGTAGGATTTGGCTAGAAGAAAACTAAGGCCAGTGAAACCAGAATATGGGATCAGTTCATGAAGTCATTATTATCGAAATGAGCCATGTACTCAGGTGTAGACTACCTGATTGAGGTCCGTGTGATTATCGTAACTTTGAATGACATGTCTCAGAATTATTCTCAGTAGAGCAGGGTTATTAGTTTTTGTCTTCCCCTAAATTTTAAGCTTCTGAATCTCTCGTAATTTTTTGTTTCGCTAGTTTGTATTTTCTTGAATCGTATCTTGGATGCCTGATCTTTTCTATTACCAATAGTACTGTGATTACCTCTACGTCTCTGAGATTTGATCTGATAATTTTGTCTCTCTGTGCAAACGGGATACAACAACTTGATTTGGTGTACATACGTACCAGGTTCAACGTTGCAACTGAGTGACTGACCTAGTCGACTGAATTGGATGGGCGATGTTTATTGGTGTAGGAATAGGTTAGAGACGAATTAAATGAAGGGTAAACGAACACGTGGCATCAATCCACAACATCATTAACTGTTAAACTAAGCTATGCAAATGGATAAGAGCTACCGGGTTTACATCCACTCAGTTATCTTTTCCAGTGGTCATAGACATTGGATAACATGGTTTAGAGTCGGTGTCAGATTATACGTTATTTATGACTGACTGACTAACTTCAGTATCAATGTCTACCTGTTCAGGTTTAGCTTTCAACTGCCCAATTATAATTAGAACTAGGATATTCGAATTTTTATATAGAAGATATTTAAATCACACTAAGTCTTGGGTAACTGTATAAATTTAAAGGATATTTTAATCACATTTAACATTGAATTTTTCTCCAACCACCACACTAATCAACTATAATCTTATAATTTTAATAGTTGAAATCATGAGTTAATTGAAGCTAGACCACCATGGAAAACCTGAAATCACTGAATGATCATTTCGTCCTATTGTGAAACTGCTCAACAGTGCGCATCGATCTTATAATCAATTGTTGATTAGTTCTGTAACGAATTTCAGACTGAAACTTTGATCCGCAAAATAATAATTTGTTCATAATAATTTGAATGGGGATTAAGGTGTATAACAGATTAATTGAAGTTTCTACACGGAAGAAAATAAATAAACTAGTGTTGAACCCTAAAATATGCACACACATAAACAAAAAAGAAATTTTTTTGGTTGAGGTCATGAATTAATTGACGTTAGACCATCACAATTGAAAACCTGGAAGCACTGGACGGCCGTTTCGTCCTACTGTGGGACTCCTCAGCAGTGCGCATCCACGATCCCGCGAGCGGGATTGGAACCCAGAGCCTTCGGTCTCGCGCGCGAACGCTTAACCAACTGGACCACTGAGCCGGCATCCAATGGTGACAGTTTCTAACATCAACCAATCCACGAAATTGCGCGACCAACTTCCGTTGTACTGAGGTAGATACCTGTCTCTACCCGACAAGGATTAGCTCCACTGGTCACGGCTTCTCACTAGAACTCCGAGAATTCCCTCACGAAGCTAGTCACTAGTGACCACATGTTGATTACTAGTATAGGGGTTGTGGAGACTGTCAAGATTTTGGTTGAGATCATGAATTAATTGACGTTAGACCATCACAATTGAAAACCTGGAAGCACTGGACGGCCGTTTCGTCCTACTGTGGTAGTAGACCGCCGTCCAGTGCTTACTGGTTTTCAATTGTGATGGTCTAACGTCAATTAATTCATGATGTCAACCAAAAACTTAACAATCTCCACAACCCCTATTCTAGTTATATAAATTTAAGTCATACCTATGGTCAGTTCTGGTTCGAATATCTTAGTGGTAGCATCACAGACTGTACACAGACTGTACATGATATGGAGTCAGTTTTTTCCAGAAGCATCAATTACATCAACAAATAATGTGAAGTTTGTGAACAAGTGCCTACTAATAAAATGGTCTTCAGAAAAAATAAATGTTCTTTTTAAGATTTGGAATATGTGAAGTTGCTTAATTGTGAATGCAACAAGTGTCCAATGGTCATTATGTTTTTCAGTTTCTATCTCTCTCTTTAATGTTAATTAACTTGAAAGTGAGTAGTTTTCTATTACAAATACCCCGTCATTATGATAACATCTCAGCGTATACTCAATCGTTTGCAACTGGCTTCAAGGTGAAACAGTAGTCTTTGAAGTTTTAAAAAATATTCCTGACTACAGTAAATATTATCTATATACTGGATAATCGTTTAATAATACTGAATGTAGGTTAATGATATTGGAAATGTAAATAATTCGATATAGATTTACTGGTCTAAAGCTGACAAGCTGATTGTTAGTGACATTTGGAAGCT